CTCTTGTTCCTGTGTGTACTCTGGGAATCTGTGTACCATGAAAGATGGAATATAGCCGTAGAAAGGGAGGAGGAAAGGTTTCAGAATCAGACCCTTGTTGGGATCCAGAATGGTCCCTAGATGCAGCAAGGATGGTACTTTATGAAGGTGTGACATCAGATAGAATTCTTTTTTTTAATTGGGTACTGGGGATTGAACTCAGGGGCACTCCACCACTGAGCCACATTCCCAGCACTATTTTGTATTTTCTTTAGAGACAGGGTCTTACTGAGTTGCTTAGTGCCTCGCTTTTGCTGAGGCTGGTTTTGAACTCAGGATCCTCCTGCCTTAGCCTTCCAAGCTGCTGTGATTACAGGCATCTGAGCTCAGCTTCTGTTTCCTACCTACTCTTAGGTGAACTTCTATGGATCTGACTTTTGAGTCATACTTGAGGATCTGTTGAAATCCAGAGCTTCTGACAAAATTGTTTTAGAATTGTTTTTGGTTCCATCAGCCCCGAGTCCAGCCCAACCCTTATCTTTTGGCAGCCCTGAAATATCAGTCTCAGAATAAATGCAAACTTCAAACCAGGTAGGTGATAGTCCTAGGGTTGGCAGTGTGGCCTGGGGAGCCACTGCTGATGTGCATGCATTTTGACTCTCTGCTTCTGAGGTTGACAAGATGGTCTATCTTCATTTTAATTCCTTCCTTGTCAAACACACACACAACACATCCAGCAGAGATCCTCCTTTCTTTCTTGCTAATTATGTCCTACTCAGTTTTAAAGATACTTTGAACATTATTTTCAGTAATSTTATGTTGCAAAGTCATAGAGTTTAATTTTCTTTTTAAAATAAAAAGTATTTTTTTATATATTTCAATGTTGAGTATATGTGGAAAAAAGATGAACTTCTACTAATCTCAGTAACCCCGCCTCCATCCCAGCTTACAACTCAGCTGCAGATCCTTTCCTCAAAGGGTCTTTCTTTCACATTTTACCCTGAGGGTGCTGACTCTCTTCCACGAAGGGGTTATACTAAGTCCTTATGTTCATCCTGAGTTCCTCGCTTTCCATAGTCCTACAGTGTTAAATTCATACTGGGCATTTTTGCTTGAGTGATCCTTCTCTCTCTTCAGCTCATCATGCCTGAAACAGAACCCACTCTGTCCTCACTCCTAATCCACCTCCTATCCCACCTCACCCACCTTCCTATTTCTGACTTTGCTTCCTGCTCTCTCCCATCCATCCCTCCCCTGATGTATCTCATCCATCATCAAAGCCAGCGAATCCTCTTTCCCCTTTTCTTTCCTGCTGCCATGATACTCATTTGGGTCCTTTGTCCATGACTGATCTTTCTGCCTTCATCTCTTTCCATCTAATCCATCCTATCCATATTATTACAAAAGCAATCTTCCTGGACATTAGTTTTCCTGGGTCCTGCTTTTGCCCATGAACCCTCAGTTTCTTCCAACAGCTGCAAGATCAAGTCCATCTTACTTAACCTTGAAACCCTGGGCCTCCATACTCTGATCCCTAGGACAATCTTTCACTCCTTCCTTATATGAGCTATTTATACATATTCATTCCTTTTTCTGTATAGCATGTGTTTGTTGCTTTATCATTGATAGCACTTCCATGTGCTTAGTACCACCCTAGTTATTTCTGAAAAGGTAAACAGGAAAGCTCTTACAAATGTGCTTCGTGGTCTTGGAAACTGGTGGTGCTGTCTGGACTGTTCACCAACTCTCTAAATCTTAAAGCATCTTCCAAGGCCTATTTTCTGAGCACCCAGCATGCCCCTGTTAATCCTTCTCTTCCAAATTGTCTGGTTCCTTGATTCTTAGCAATTCCCYATTCATTTCTCACTCAACCACCAAGTATACACAGAACACCTACTGTGTGTCAGGCACCATAATCATTTTGCCTCACATATTAGTACACTTTCAGAACATAAGATTTACATAATTTATTTCCTCCTCAAAACAATGTATGAAGTAGACAATATTATCCATATTTTATAAATAGGAAAAAAATCTAAGCCCAGAAAAGTTTAGGAACTTTCCTAGGGTTACAAGCTAGAAAGTAGCAGAGATGAAATTCAAATCTATTTCAGGAGTCCTTACTGTTAATCCCTGTGCTTCACATGAAGTGCTGGTATATGTCGTGTGTGTGTGTGTGTGTGTGTGTGTGTGTGTGTGTAACCCTAAACACACATACCTCTTCCCAGCTGGAATTTGAACTCCTAGAAGTTACAGATGCTGTATTATACCTACTTGCATTCCCACCATCCCAATCCAGCCTTGCATGTAGAAGGCACTTGAACTGCTTGCTTGATTGGTTGTTGGTTTTTCCATTTACTATTGAGAAGCCTGAGGTTTTTTAGCACCAACTGGGGATGTTTTGAAAGATCAGGTGGAGACAGAATTTCAGAATAGACCTGAATACTCTGGAATTCTTGGTTTCCAGTTCTTAACTCTGCAAGCCATGAGGATAGGGTTACACAAGAAAAGAGATTGATGTAAAAGCTCTTGAAAGTGAAATAAAATTCCCTTCACAAAAAGCAAAATAAAACTCAAATCATGTTATACTTACACAGGCCACCCCCTCCCCCACCCGGCTTCCTGTCACACTTATCTCCTGTCCATTTGCTTTATTGCCTGCAAAACCAGAGTTTTGGCATTTAGGTGCTCAAGTTTGCTTTCCTGGTTTAATATTTCTATTTAAGGCTTTTACAAGTTGAAGAAGATGAACATTTTACTTGAGTGGCAATACTGCAAGCACATATTTAGTTTAATAAAACCTGATAAGTACATATTCGAATTTAAAAAACACAGGTGGTAGGTTATTTGCATTTTAAAAGGATTCTTCCCTTCACAAAAGGATCCACTGCAGGGTTCCATTAAATATCCAATTCCTCTTAGTGAATTTATCATACAATTTAATTTACCAAAATTTGATTTATATGCCATTCCCAAGAGGTAGCTCTCAAGTTTCAGGGACCTTGGGAACCACTTGGGCAACTTATATACAATTCAGTTCTGGCCCCTACCCATCCCCAAGATTCGAGTTCATTATGTCTGGGGTAGAGTCCAGCATCTTTTTTTTTTCCAAGCATTTCACAGGTCACTAGTGAAATATACAGAAGTTGAAACCCAACTGGAGAAGTTTCCCCAGGGTCCGAGGACCCCTTACTATCAAGTGTCTTGCTTATCCTACATTTTGGAAAATTTGTAAAAATATTTGTTTGGGTCAAGTAGACTCTTCAGCTCTTTTTATTTGTTTGAGTCAAGTAGACTCTTCAGCTCTTTTCTACTTACTGTCCTGTAGTTGCCACGTATCTTTAATCTCAGCTAGAAAATGGTGGCTTTTTAATCCAACAACAACAACAACAAACCCCAATTTTACTCTTAGGAATTTTTTTGGATCTTTCCTTTTCCCATTTCTTAAAGCTGACAAGGCTCTTATGAATGGTCACCTACTAAATTCGTACATTCCSCTTTCCAGATACCACACCTGCCTGCCCTCATCCCTTCCCTCTGTGCTCTTGATAGGGATGCTGAAGGCTGTGACTCTGTGCAGAAATATCAGGCACTGTAGTTATTTCTGTGAAGGTTTCCTGTCCTCTCTCTTTTCTATCTTACTACCCACTCACCCCCCAAAAAATTAAACTTATTTTTTTTTAACAAAACAAATCATTACAATGACTTGCCTTGGCATGGTTCTGTTCTTCCATAAGTACTGATTCCAGTCCTACAGCAATGAAGGCCAGAACTGTGCATTTACAATATGATTGTGGTTTAATGAAATTTGTTTAAAAAAATAGACTCCATGACATTTGGGGCACATGTATCTATGTATTTAATATATCTCTGATCTTTTAAAAGTCAGTTGTTTGACCTATATTTTGCCTCTGATTACTTTTGTAAATCTCTAGTAATCTCCAAAAACATTTAGAGATTTTCATACTTCAGAGTTTTTTTTTTTTCTTTCCTCCTTTATTAATCCCCTATATCCCTGAATTTTGCTGCAAGTAAAGGTTCTCTGGGGTGATCTGGATTTGGTGAAACATCTCCAGTAATAATAAAAGCAATACAAGAGCAGATGACTGGCATAGTAGGTTAATGGTGGGGAATCTTTAAAAAAAAAAATCATCAGAGCTTATGCTTCTCTTGAAGGAAGGGGTTCTTAATAACCTTGTTTACCTTTGCATAAGAATGTGGCCAGAGATTCTGTTTTTTGTTTATTTAGACTTTTTGAACATTTTTTTTAACCTATTCATTGGTGAACTGGGTCTTCCTGATAAGTGTGTAGAACTTTCTAGGAAAACAAACAAACAAACAAACAAAAAGTGGAGGAAAAGTAGAGGACAGGGTATGGAGCAAAGTCGGAAATGATCAGAGAAGGTAGTATTAGGCGAAATGGTAATACCGAGCATCGGTTTTAGGTTGTCTGGGCATCTCTTGCAAGCAGGTACATATCTGGCATGTTCAATAGGATTAAATTTATGCAGAAAACAACATTATATTATAAAAAGAGTTGATGGTAATCTTTGGATAGTAGGAATTCAAATGCTTGTTTTTTTCCTCTTTATTTGTCTGAATTTCTCCAAGTTTCTACAGTGACCATGTATTACTATTCCAAGTAATTTGAAAGAAAGGAAGAAACCTACTTTACCTGGGGTTGTGAGTTGCCTTCCCAGGGACCTGGTTTTACTATATTTATCATAAATCCTATGTATTGCATAGAACAATGGCAAAAGGAAAGTCGGCCTTATTAGGCCCATTACAGTTTGACAACGTAAAGACTGTCTTGGGGAGGGTAAGAGCCAGCCTTCTGCCCTGAAGCAGGAAGGCTGGGGTGCTGGTTTGTTGCATGCTCCGAGTGTGTTCATGTGCCTTACCACACCTCTTGCCACCCAAGAATTACGATGGCATTGCATTTGGGATTTTAACTTTGTCTTCTTTCTTTTTTCCTTCCCTTTCCCCACCTCCTCTCTCTCCCCACCTTCTACTTCCTCCAGGCCTCTCCCACCTCATGATGAGTGAACAAGGTAGGTGCTCTGTGCCTGTGATCCTGCAGCTGCCTGCACTGCTTGCCTTTGTGCCTCTGGCTGGTCACTCAGAGCCTCCTCCTTGCTGGCAGGCCTAGCTGCCTGTCCCTCCTGCTGTGGACCAGGCTGGCAGTGGGGCCACCCTGCTGTGTGTGAGGGGCACCTTTCCTGATGCATCATGGTGCCCCACCCCCACTCTCCCCTGGTTTCTCCATTCTCCACTGCCATTTGTCATCCTGGGCGCTGGCCCTGCTGGGCTGCCTCCAAGAGGCAAGCATGAAACAAGGCATGACCGTCGATAATGGGGGTGAACGGAGCTAATTTCAGAGCAACCAGGCGGTTAACTTCCTCCTGCTCCTCCTCGGGCCCGGCTGGGCCCCAGGTTGGGGGAGAGGAGCTGGGCTTCTCCCTGAGTTTCACTCTGGGTAAAGGCTTGCTTTTGTCTTGCCCTCCATTCCATTGCCCATCTTAATGCCATTCTTCCCTGGTCAAAGGAAGCCCTTGAGGGTTTGACTGTTTTCAGTTTGATATAAAAGCAAAAATCACTGAAAGAACATGCTAATGTCCTCATGGCAGAATTCTAACTCATTATACACCCTGAAGAAAACTGCATATAAAGATCTGTAAATTCAGCATCTGTAACCTAAAATATTCAAATATGCAGGGAATGAACTGTGCAGGAAATTCAGCTCAGCTAAGCATGGGGTGGGCTGTGAATGAAGCGTTTTTCTCCTAAATAAAAATTTTCCACATTATCAGCCCAAGTCAGGATTTGAGAACTGATCCTACTTAAAATTGTCTTTTCTTTCATTGTTCGATTGCTACTATTGGGCTTCCTCCGAGTATTGGGGTGATTACAAGATTGGTCTACCTGCCTTGCCCTGTCACCAAAAGACTGCACTTTAATTTTTATTGTCTGTTCCCCTCCCCCCCCMAAAAAAATACACATGCTTCTCTTGGAGAACTAAAGAAAAGAAGGATGGGTACTTCCAAACATCCCTGCTTTTCTTGGTCTTTTGAGGGGGGAAGGGCAGCCCTGGTGGCACTTCCCTTCCCCTGGTCCCTTCCATTGGCTCCATCAGAATATTTTCCCATAAAGGGAAGTATGATCAGATCAAGGAACCACCCAGGGTTACAAGAAGACGGTTTGTGGTGTCCAGGTAGCTGTGGAGGTGGGCAGGTGAAAGGCATCCTGAATTACGGCAGATTAAGGAGGAAGCCCACTTTTCTAATATAAGTATATCCTCTAGAYCTGACGTCCATGATGTGATCTCCAGAAATTGCAATGAACAGATGGATTGGTAGAGAGCCAATATCAAAGAGAGGGGTCAGATGAGTCCCCCAGTTTTAGCCTTGGCTCTGGAAGAGGCTGGGATGCAGCCTGTCTTTAATTGTTGTGAGAGTGAGGAATGCAGGTTCAAATGGCAAGTAGCTATGAAGTGGGTGTGAGGGCATGTTCTCCCTGTCCACCTAGTGTCTGGGTATTGGTGAGTATCACACACTTCTCTAAGAGGAGAAAGGAACTGAGTTCTACGAATTGCTGAAATTGGATGGCCCAACTTTGGTGACTAGTAATACCCCAAAGAGCAGGCCCTCAGAGTCCTGATGACAGTGGCTCCCTTTGTGTTGTCTAGTCTTATGCTTCTGGCTGCCCTTCAGTTCTCCCAGCTTGTACAGTGGCTTGGAGTATCAAGTGCATCAGATGGCTGATGTCATGGAGCAAAGTATGGCAGATGGGATGGGCCAATGGGGACTTCCTTGATCTTGATTTAGCTCTTTTCAGACACACTGATGCAGCACAGGAAGGCTAAATCCCAATATTGGCATGAAAAGTTTTTAGAGAGCCATTTTTTATACCTTATCTTGTACTCCAACACATATTAGTAGAGCATTCAAATGTAACCATGCTCCAGGGGAAGAAATGAGTTACCTTCTAGAAAAAAAGGGAAAGAAATGATTTCAAACATGAATRTGATAAATGCCTCTTTAGAGATGTTTTCAAGAAAGGATGCAGAATTCTTCTGGGTGACTGGTGCCACTAAGATGTTAAGTTGCCACTTGCAGCGTAATCTGTTTTTTAATAGGATCCTTTGACTGCACTCTTCTTCCTCTCCTTTCCCATTCCCCAACTCCTTGTCCATTCTCACCCTCTGATAATGACCCTAATGCTAACCCTCTTCTTTCTACTGATACTCCTTACCTTCTCTGTTTTCTTTCCCGTGAAAGTGGCTTCTGTCTGGCTCCCACTGGATCTCCAGAATTTGTTTTTGATGTCTTTGAATATGTGTGTGAATATTTACGTATGCTATATGTGCATCACCTGTACATGTATGTTATACTCTTGGTTCTCATGACCATATTAATGCTGGGAAAATATAAGAGAACCTCRCTTCTCTGAGATGTTCCCTAATCATCATTAAATCCGTTAAGTGTGTGCAGTTTCACATACATGTAGCTGTGCAGTGCTCTTGCATGCAGACTGTCATGTTCCTGAGGATGGGACTAAGAAGAAATGAATGGGATGAAGCTTACGTACAATGGAAGCAGCCTTGCTGTCAATGTTTACTGCTTGTTTGAGCTTCCCATTGTGCGTTAGTTTTGTGCTGCCTTCTGGGGATGTTGCCATGCTACTGCCTTTGCTGTCTGTGGTAGATCTGTTATGTGTGTTGTGTGTCTGTGTGGGTCTGCCATGTGCTGATGTGACTTTCCTTTCTTTTACTCTCTCTCGCCGTCTCTGTGGTGGACACCCTGCTTCTTCTCTTAACTGGACCTTCTACTTCATTTCTGTAGGTAGAAGTAAAGGTAGAGGTCACTTTATTTTTTATCATTACAACGATCAATCTGCCTTCTGAATTATTCCTGTATACAAGGGGAATTTTCGATTCTGATAAATACAGTCCAGATTAGAATCTAGTGCTTTTAACAAAAACTTTTTTTTTAAAAAGCCAATGCTGCCATTTACCTTTGATGCACTTGGTATTCAGTGCTTGGGGGTGATTGAGTTAGCTTGTTTCCCTCTAAATCCAGGATGAACCTTATGTATGATGTCAAATTGGTTCTAGCAGGAATGGGGGGGCGCAGTTCTGGAAATGTTCATGCAGTGTGGAGGGCATTCTAAGATCCCCTCCGAGGAGTAAAGCATATTGAGGGAACAGGGGAGGTGTGAATTGGTGAGCTATTGTTGCCATTATTTAGGAATAACCAAATTGGGGGCTAACAATGGTGAAGGAAGGATGATCGATGAGAAAGAAGAGAGGGCTGGCAAATTGCCTGAATTTTTATTTAGGGTGGAATTTGGGGATTACTTGTTTATTGCTCTATTTTTCCTCTGGTGTTGTATTCCCTGTATTATGTGGGAGTTAGAATTTTTTTTGATGGCGGGCTAAGGAGGATGGGACTGGGGTGTGTGGAAGAATCTAGGAATATAAATGCATTACATTGGAAGGAGGAAGGAGAATTTTAATATACAAAGTCAGCCTTTGCCAGGTGGGCAGGGAAAGGGAGAAACCCTGAGCCGGTGGGCTTGCTGTAGAGCTCTGACATGCTGTTCAGCGCATCACACCTTTGGGTAGCACAGCTCACTCATCCATTCCTAACTAGAGCTGTCAGAGATTTGAGCCCAGAGAACCTGGCTTGCCAGCTCAAATTGGATTAGCTGTTTGGGAGTGAAGGGAGAGGTTAATTGATAAATTATAAATATGTATCTGCATCCAGCCATCCCTCTTCCTCCCTAACTCTCCAGCCCCTATCTTGGTGAAGCTGTGTGCAGCTGCTTCCTTCAAAAATTGGCAAATAGCAAGATAGGAGATGTGAAGTCTAGCATGAGAGTGTGGCTGAGAGAAGGGGCTGACATTCTTGAAAATGCTGATTTGAGGGCTCGATGTGTACACTGGCCATCTCTCATTTGAGTTTTGTGCTTTTCCAGATTTGATTAAAAAAAAAAAAAAGTTCTGTATAGCTTCCTTGGAAGCAGTTCAGTCTTTTCTATTTTGGGTCTGGCTGATTGCCTGTTCCTTTTAAGCTAAGCCCAAGTATGGTTCATTCCCAGAAATCTGTCTTGAGGCACCCTTACCCCATTGCTAAGTGGGTGGGAAAGGGGAAGAGGGAGAGTAATAGAGATTAGAGGGGTCTGGCTGGACCTCCCTCTCTCTACTGGTATGGCTCACTCTAAGGCTGCCAATGATCTAATGGGACAAGCCACCAGTCTGCCCAGGGCTCAGCCTCTCTGAAACACGTGGCATTGGTCACTTGAACCATTTGCAGTTGGCTTCTACAGTACATTAGAGTTTCTCTTTACCCCCAATCCTCTATAATAAGTGTTTTTARGTTTTCCATAGATTTTATTTTTTGTCTCTGGATCTTTGCTGTTACCATGCCTGGTAGTTGCTATCACATGGAGTGCTCCTGTGCATCAGCTACTGTGTTATGGGTTTTATGTTCCTTATCACACTTAATATTCTTAGCTCTTCTAGGAGGTGAGTGTTGGCATTATTCGTTTTTTATGAACAAGGATAACAAGGCCCAAGAGTTAAGTCACTTAAATCAGGTGGCTACTAAGAGAGAATCCAACCTGGAATCTGAGCCCCTAACCACATCTCTACACTGCATCTCTTGGATCCACGGGTAATGTTCATGTACCTGCCTCCTTGCTATCTCCTGGTAACCAATCCATCTTAACTTCCAGCCTGCCACCTTGCATTTGCTATAACACATGTTCATATAGTGTCACCTAGTGCTGTCACCTCTATGTCCAAAGTCAACCTTTGTATCATTTGTCCACAAACCAGCTTCCTTGTGTGATGTCCCTATTTTTGTTATTGGAGCCCCATTCTCTTTATCACCCAGGCTGGAAACCTGGGAATTACTTTCTGTGTTCTTTCCTGACACTTCCTAGTCCAAGGCTATCAGTTGAGAGCTTGTTGAAATTCTCCTCTGGCTTGTCTTTTACATCTCTACTGTTGACACCTTAGTTAAGTTCTTGGTCATCACCTGATGGATTG